CGTGACGTCTACAATGAGATTTTAAGGCGTAAAAACTTAAGCTGTAAGAAATTGACGATTAATTACAGCCGATCATTCTCCTCATGTTAGACTTGCGAGCATCGCTTTCAATTTTATGTAATTTTTTTGTTTTTTATTGTCATCTTGATATTATTACCACCTTTGGACTAGCGATTATTGCTTAATTAAATTTTTTTTGTAACTTTTTTTATCTTCTGTCATCTTGTTGTACCGACGATGGTCAAATCTTGACCGAGACGTCTACATTTTTATATGAGAATTTTATATACATACTATATATATGACTTGCGTTAACATCTATCGCTGTATGCTTTCTATTATTAATGTTTAATAAAAATTAACATGTCATTTCTTGCCTATGATCGTCACAATTCAATGTGGCTGAGGTGACTGCTCAGGAGTCTTAAAGCTGAAATTTTACGCTTCGAAGTCTCATTGTAGACGCCGCTTCATGACATCTTAATGTATGAGCCGACTATAAATACCGGCCTATAATCGGTTTGTATCGCAACGCGGACAATCTCGCTCGGAAATGAGAGAAAGAAAAGAAAGGAAGAAACATGGGCGAAGTTCGCGAGGCTCTTGATGATTCGCAATTAACGCGTTCACCCGTGACTGACACCGTGAGCGACGCTATTGGAAGCTCGAAACGGGGCATTTCGGACACGCTTCTACGGGAAGCTGTGGAATCTTCGTCCTGTCAGCGTTCTTTCGTGAATCGCCGTCGCGGTTTTTCCCTTCATTCATGCTCGACCGAACGCTCGACCGCAAGATACGGTCGATTCCAGAGACCAAGAAATACCTGACCCTTTTCTCGTAAGGACAGCACTGACTTCACTAAAAAAACCCGTGCCAATTAGCGATCGCACTCCTTATATTCTCTTGCGAGTATATACTTTCGGAATTTGTCAAAATGTATGAGGGAGCTGCGCGAAGAAAATTTATTTACAACTGTTACGAAATTATCTTGAAATCTTAATTTTAATAATACAATAATAAATGTTAAGAAAAGTTGTACGGCAAATTCAATATGCTAAGAATTACTTGAAAAAATTGCAGATTATTTTAAATTGCATTTAAAAGTAATACAAAAGAAATTAGAGATAGTTGACCAACGTGGATCAAAAGTTATATTTCAATAAAAAGTAATATTTTTTTTAACTTGTACTCTAATAGAAATATAATGAAAATGTATTATAAAATAATGGTCAATTTTTTTATATAAGTACTTTATAAATGCAAAAATATTTACATTTGATATTTACATTTTGTTCGGTAAATAAACAAAATATTTATTTGTCATGAAATTAATTAGTGAATCAATGGAACTTTGCACAAGTCATTTTTAGCACTTAAAATATTTATGTAAAAAAAATTTTTATTTTTATTATTTTCCAAATCTCTGTTTATAACAATAAAACTAATATCAAATAAAATAAATAATCTATAAAAATGTATTGCTCGATAAAAACAGAATATTATGAACATAACTTTCACATGTACGTAGTTTGTTTAAAGCATAAATATTAATATATGCGTTTTTTCATGCTCTTACAACCTCCTTAAGGCCGGAGCACAGACTTTTGCATAGCGCATAATGCATAAAGCGTAAGGAAATCAACCAATTCAGAAACTTTTATTTCACGGAAAGGAAAGAAACGAGGGACTTCGATTGGTTCGTTTTCTCATGCATTACGCGTTATGCACGACTTCCATAGGACCGGCCCATAGAGAATCTCGGTGTCGCCGGCACTTTAATCATCTTATCG